GATTATCGCCCCGCAGCTTGATACCTCGTAAAAATCCATACAAATGTTACAAAATACACATGGATTCATGTATTGCATAAGGTCGTGTGTGAAACCCAACACACTGACATGAATTAATTTAGTTGGGCAGTACGTTTCTTCGTACCGAAGCACTACTAGAATAAAGCACGAGACCACTGTCGAATGGCGTTGCCGCAACCCAAAAACGACCAGGCGAAGGGAATTGTTGCAACCTTAGAGTCTTAAGATGACCACAAGAACAGCTGCTCGAGGGTATTTAATAATATTTTACCTGCGCTCGACTCTGGGCTGGATATCCACTGCCTAAATTTAGAGACACGGAGGATGGTGCGCAGACGTCGCAGACGTGTGCGTGCCGCTTTCGGTATAGGGGGCCATCAAACTATCCACAGCAAAGACGAGACACGTAGTGATATCCCACTACATTCCCGAGCATACGCAAGCAGAAATCGATGTGGCTGTCAATGAGCCCCCCCCGGACCCACCCTCCCAAATTGTTCTCGAAAGTGATCGTTCCGTTTCCAGACAGCGCCATAAACTCCGTGAGTAATCTGCTCGAAGCAAACTTTGCAATTCCCTCGTTGGTCAAAGCTTTATGTCGATTGCAGACAGCACCTGCTGACAGACCTTGAGTTCTGGTTTCTCTGGCAAAAAGGATCACATTGGAGGGAATCTTCAGCCAATTCTGCTTCAGCCACTTCCAGTTTTCAAACCACATATGTCCCTTGGTCTTGAAAGCGTAGAATCCCACCAAAAGACTTATGTAAGCGCTGCAGCGATTTTAATAGTTAAGCCAATCTTGAAGCAGCAACCATACAAAAGCAACCTCAGAGACAAAAGCGACCTTACCCGCGAAACTCCGATAGTTTTGGGTCGATCAAGTCAACCACGTCAAGAACGATTCCATGTTTTTCGACAGACTCATCCAGTTCGTCAGGCTTGCACTGCTTACGTTTTGCTGTAGTAATTGCAACCTGCATCGAGCGTGTGAGATCCATCGGAATAGCGAAGTTGTGCTTGTACTCGGCTATTTGCTTCCCACACACACACAATGGTGCGTGTCCTCAGGTAAGCATCTTCTAGCAGCACAGGATACTTATTCATGATCTCCAGCATAAACTTCATATTTGGAGTGTTTCGGGCCCATGCCACGAGCTCATCTAGCGTCACTGAAAGCTTGAATACCTGTGCAAGGCCAAACGTTCTGGTATCAATCTCGTCTGCGGAAGCTGCTTCGTTATTGCGCTGGGGTTGTTACGCCGCTTCGGTTTAGGCATGCTGATGATGTCAACTTGACGATCAGGATTCCTGTCAGCCTCATCTACGCCCTCTCTGTCACGACTCGTTGGGATCGTAGTTGTTGCTTCCAGCGATATGGGCAGAACGCGTTCCTGCTGTAGTGATTCGTCTGCCTCGGATTTTGTTCCTGCTACTGGGGTTGACACCACTGCAACTGCGGCTGGTTGCGTTTGTGGAACGTCGGAATCACTCCTGGTCTCACTGACACTCTCCACGTTTGCCATTTCCATCTCTTCCATAAACTTTGCCATACCAATTGCATCAGCTGGCTTCAACGTGGATAGAACGCCGGCGTCACTAGCATTTTCGCCATCAGTTCTTCCGTCAGTATCCACATCATGTCCACTATATGCTTGCTGAAACGACGCAGACCAACTTCCACCGTCTCCTTCCATGCCCAAAGCTCTTCATAGAAATTCGCACTCGATAAGCCGGACAAGTGCTCGAGCAGAGGCTCCAGCATAACCTTCGCGTAGCAATACTTATCGGCAAAAGATAAAACAATAGTTTTCGCAAGCTTATTTCTTCGTAGTCGAACTTAGACAACCTCTTTCACACCCTTAGTTGATGCTGAAGCCTCTGTCTTGTTGGTTGCATTGGGCAACCTTAACATGCTCACAACTGCAGCAAGGTCGCTGCGATGACCAGATCATTCTTGACACCCAGAGCAGACATGGTACCCCATCGATTGTAAATCGCATTAGCAGGCAGTTTATTAAGTTCGCGATCATTGCTTGCTACCAACATTAAGAGGCGACACGGTAGGTGGTTACTTGTAAAACAAACAGGTACACACCCAATCGAGATCGTGATAGCGAAAGCGTTTGGTGCGAGCAGTGAACGTTCCACACCCATGAAGTCAAACTTTGTTCATACGATGTCACATCTGCCTTGTAATGGGCTTGCTACGTGCCCACTACTTCGGCTTACACGTTAGCGC